GAGCATGGAGACGTGTTCTCTGGAGTGACCAATCATGCTTCTCTGGATGGCAAACCAATGGATGTGTCTGGGTTTGGTGGTTGCCATTGGTGTGTGGTGGGGACGGAAGGCTCATTGATGATGGTGAGGGAGGAAAGGCTCATTGATGGCGGTGGGGGAGAGAAGGCTCATTGATGGCGGTGGGGGAGAGAAGGCTCATTGTTGGAGGTGGGGGGAGAGAAGGCTCACTGATGGAGGCTGGAGAGGGCAGGCTCACTGATGGAAGCGGGAGAGGGAAGGCTCACTGATGGAGGTGGGGGAGGGAAGGCCCATTGATGGAGGTGGGGGAGGGAAGGCTCATTGATGGAGGTGGGGGAGGGAAGGCTCATTGATGGAGGTGGGGGAGGGAAGGCTCATTGATGGTGGTGGAGAGGGAAGGCTCATTGATGGTGGTGGAGAGGGAAGGCTCACTGATGATGGTGAGGGAGGAAAGGCTCATTGATGGCGGTGGAGGAGGGAAGGCTCATTGATGGCGGTGGGGGAGAGAAGGCTCATTGTTGGAGGTGGGGGAGAGAAAGCTCATTGACGGAGGTCAGGAAGAGAAGGCTCACTGATGGAGGTGGAAGAGGGAAGGCTCATTGATGGAGGTGGGGAGGGAAGGCTCATTGATGATGGTGAGGAAGAAAAGGCTCATTAATGGTGGAGGAGGGAAGGCTCATTGATGATGGTGAGGAAGGAAAGGCTCATTGATGATGGTGAGGAAGGAAAGGCTCATTGATGGCAGAGGAGGAGGGAAGGCTGATTGATGGCAGAGGGGAGGCAAGGCACATTGATGGAGATGGGGAGGGAAGGCTCATTGATGGAGGTGGAGAGGGAAGGCTGGTCCGTGTAACCTGATCCAAAGGAAAGACCTACTGGAGCTCAAACTGCTGAAAGAGTGAATGCTGGTTCTGATAGAAAGGTGTCAGAACACACAGAGCATTGCAGTTTGTTGTGTAGGGGGCTGGATAGCTACAGACCAGTCAGGGTGGCCATGCTGACCCGTGTTCACAGCCAAAAGTGTCTACAATGGGCAAGTGAGCATCAGAACTGGACCACGGAGCAATGGAAGAAGGTGGCCTGGTCTGATGAATCCAAGAATGGTCAGCAGGGGTGTGAAACTGACGGCCCTCCAGCTTTTGCGAAACTGCAAGTCCCATCATGCCCCTGCCTTTGGGAGTCATTCTTGTAACCCCCAGTCTTGCAATGCCTCATGGGACTTGTAGTTTGGCAACAGCTGGAGGGCCGCCAGTTTGACGCCCGTGGGTTAGAGGAACCAGTTGAAGGCGTTGCCTTGGCTTTGAAATTCTGCAGATCTCAATCCAATCGGGCATCTGTGGGGAAAAAAAGTCCGATCCATGGAGACCCAACGTTACGGGATCTTTTGCTGACAGCACACCTTCAGAGGTCTAGTGGAGTCCATGCCTCGATGGATTCGGGTGGGTTGTCATCATGCTATGGCAGATTGGAGAAATGTGACACTAAGCTGACAACTCAAAGCAGGAAGCGGCAGCTTTGCTCACAGTGGTGTCCATGTATCTGCTGTAGACCAACGCAGCGAACAGCCTTTTTATCACAAAGCGTCTGCAAGCCGGCTACAATTACCCTCCTTGCATCCTCATTTATCTTTCTGTCCAGGTATTCCTTGGCGGACAAACTAAGAAAAGTCATTAGCGGTTTATTTTCTAAAAAAGAAACTCATGTTCCTGCCCCCGGGAAAACCGAATTAGATAATGGATTGCAGTTGTCTTAAAATTACTTTCTAAGTTGCTTTAATTAGTTAGTTTTGCATCCCGTACTGTAAAAAAAAATTAGAATTCACGGCGCTTAATGCGCCATTTTTTTTTCCCTTTCAACTCCATCTGTCCACCTTTTAGAATACTGTAATTGTAAGAAGGGGGAGAGAGAAAAAAGTAAATACAAAAAGAAAAAAAATAATATATAATTGACGTCCCCGGAGAGAAGATTTTCCCCGGCCGCGCAGCTCCCCGTTGCTGTCTCAGGTGTTCAGCACCTGTTTTATCTTGTTTTCCTTAAACAACTTAATTCTAGTTGGCAATGATTAATTCAAAAGGGCGAACGGGAATCTGCGCGGCGACGGAGAGAGAAAATCGGAGCGTGCGAAAACAACGGATAATGTTTTAATTTTTCACAGTAGGAAATCCGCAGCGAGAAAGTGCGCCAGCATCCTCCGCACCTGCAGCCAACCGCCGTGGAAAACTTTGCAAAAATGAAAAGCGTTTAGGAGGTTTCTCCGGGGGAGATGGAGTTCAGGAGAAAGGTTGGTCTGTTCTTCAAAGTGGATTGACACTTCCACTCGTCCTATCAGGTTCAATGGCAGATGTAATAGGCGTGGATTGAGGAGGAATCCTTTCCTCCCCGGTTGATTCTGGCCTGGTGCACAAGGCTTGTCCTCAGCTGTAGACAGGACTCTCCATAAGTCCTAATGCCTCCTGATAGGGATGGAGTTGCTCTTGTATGGTTAGGGGTTTGGGTGATGTGCCCCTTGGGGGTCGGCACATTCCCCAGCATGGAGTGAATAGATTTTTTTTCTTGTCATGCCTGAACCAGTCAAGTCTCCCCCAGTGCCCAATATGGGCTCCAAGAAAAGCCATGACCAAGAACCAGAAGAAGGATGGCAAGAAGAAGGAGAAGAGCAGGAAGGAGAGAGTTAGGCCATCTACATGCAAGGTGCTCAAGCTGATACACCCCAACACTAACATCTCGTCCTAGGCCAGCTCCAAGTAAACCTCACTACACCCTACATTCCTAGGGGTGCCAGGAAAACCTGGTGGGTTTGGGACCCCACTGAGTTTTTTTAAGTCACTACTGCTTTTCTTGCACTATGCTGCTCGGGAAGGCCTTTTGCCTGGCCTGGAGCAACATATATACCTGCAAAAAGGCCTGCCCATGTGTTTTTTTCACTTGGCACTTGCACTGCATGTGTGGGTTTCTTCTTTTCCACAAGCCACAGGGATTTCATCGGGGGCCTGACCTGAAGTCGGGGAGAGGATCTGTGGCCTTCACAAGTCTTTTTCCTCTCCCCAACTGGGGGTTTCTCTTTCTGGCCTGGTGCACAAGGCTTGTCCTCAGCTGTAGACAGGACTCTCCATAAGTCCTAATGCCTCCTGATAGGGATGGAGTTGCTCTTGTATGGTTAGGGGTTTGGGTGATGTGCCCCTTGGGGGTCGGCACATTTCCAGCATGGAGTGAAGAGATTTTTTTTTTTTTCTTGTCGTGCCTGAACCAGCCAAGTCTGCCCCAGTGCCAAAGATGGACTCCAAGAAAGCCATGACCAAGAACCAGAAGAAGGATGGCAAGAAGCAGAAGAGCAGGAAGGAGAGTTAGGCCATCTACATGAAAGGTGCTCAAGCTGATACCAACCCAACCAGGCCAGGACCAGAAGAACATCGAGCCCTAGCCAAAGGAGCATCATGAAAATCGGAGCATGCCCTAGGCCAGGAGCATCATGAAAATCGGATAATGTTTTAATTTCTCACAGTAGGAAATCTGTAGCGAGCAGATGTTTCTCTGGGGAGATGGAGTTCAGGAGAAGGTTGGCCTATTCTTCAAAATGGATTGAGGCTTCCACTCATCATATCAGGTGCGATGGCAGTTAGTAATTCCAGATATAATAGGTTTGGACTGAGGAGTTAATCCTTTCCTCCCGGGTTGATTCTGGCCTGGTGAACCAGGCTTGTCCTCAGCTGTAGACAGGATTCACCATAAGTCCTAATGCCTCCTGGTAGGGATGGAGCTGCTCTCTTGCCTGGTTAGGGGTTTTGGGTGCACGAGTTCCGGGTGATGTGCCTTTGGGGAGCACGGTTCGGGTGATGTGCCTCTTGGGGGTCGGCACATTTCCAGCAAGGAGAGAAGAGATTTTTTTTCTTGTCATGCCTGAACCAGCCAAATCTGCCCCAGTGCCCAAGATGGGCTCCAAGAAAACCATGACCAAGAACCAGAAGAAGGATGGCAAGAAGCAGGAGAAGAGCAGGAAGGAGAGTTAGGCCATCTACATGCAAGGTGCTCAAGCTGATACACCCCAACACTAACATCTCGTCCTAGGCCAGGAGCATCATGAAAATCGGAAGCATGCGAAAAAACGGATAACGTTTTCATTTCTCACAGTAGGAAATCTGTACCGAGCAGATGTTTCTCTGGGGAGATCGAGTTCAGAAGAAGGTTGGTCTATTCTTCAAAGTGGATTGAGGCTTCCACTCATCCTATCAGGTGCGATGGTAGGTAGGAATTCCAGTTGTTATAGGTGTTAAGGTCAGAAGATGTTATAGGTGTGGACTGAGGAGGAATCCCTTCCTCCCGGGTTGATTCTGGCCTGGTGAATCAGGCTTGTCCTCAGCTGTAGACAGGATTCACCATAAGTCCTAATGTCTCCTGGTAGGAAAGGAGCTGCTCCTGCCTGGTTAGGGGTTTGGGGAGCACGCGCTCCGTGTGATGTGCCTCTTGGGGGTCGGCACATTTCCAGCATGGAGTAAAGAGAGATTTTTTTCCTTGTCGTGCCTGAACCAGTCAAGTCTGCCCCAGTGCCCAAGATGGGCTCCAAAAAAGCCATGACCAAGAAATAGAAGAAGGATAGCAAGGAGCTGGAGAAGAACAGGAAGGAGAGTTAGACCATCGATGTTCAAGGTGCTCAAGCTGATAACACCCCAACGCCGACATTCCGTCTTAGACCAGGATCATCATGAAAATCGGAGCATGTGAAAACAGGTAATGTCTTAATTTTTCACAGTAGGAAATTTGCAGCGAACAGATCCGCCAGCATCCTCCGCACCTGCAGCCAACCGCCATGGCAAACTGTGCAAAAATGAAAAGCATTTAGGATGTTTCTCTGAGGAGATGGAGTTCAGGAGAAGGTTGGTCTGTTCTTCAGTGGATTGACACTTCCACTCGTCCTATCAGGTGCGATGGCAGTTAGTAATTCCAGATATAATAGGTGTGGACTGAGAAGTTAATCCTTTCCTCCC